TGAGGGCAATGAATGTACAAATGTGCTTTACACAATTGATGTGTGTATGGATTGTGATAAGAGTTGTATGAGCCCCTAATAAAACGATTAAATAAAAAAAAGGGTGACCGGGATCCACCTCCCCCCAATTCTCCCCGCCCCCCCTCCAGCCCCAACTTGAAATGAAGGACTTGGTCCAACATTTAACATGACCACCCACCAGGCTTTTGATCCTCTGAGCCCCTCCCAAGGTTTTGGCGGCTGGGCAGGTGAGATTCTACACAGTGGCAAGGATTCAGGGTGAGGCCCAGGGAGCAGTGGCTCCAATGGCCCAAACCACTTGGTTTTGGAGGACCATGCATGGGAACAAGGAGCTGTCTGCCCATGAAGAACATGACCAGTCCAAGCGACACCTGCTCCACCCCACCTCCTCCAACCCCTGCCATCCAAAAAGAGGCAAGACACACGATAGCAGTTTACATTTATTCTTGAAAACCAAGACTCAACCTCCCACCACAGCACAGAGTGGTCTTCCCAAGGGGCCCTGCCCCCTCAGAGAGTCATCTCTTTTCTGACCCCAGTTCCCACCTATACCATTATGAAGCCGCGACTTGGGTAAGGGGTTCCTCCAGGTACTGCACCAAGGCCTGAGCCTGCAAGAAGGGGAGCAGATTATCAGTGCCACACTGGCCTCCGGATGAGGGATGCAGGATCTAGACCCCCGCCCCCACCTGCCCAATGCCATAAGCTGAGAACATTCATTCTGCTCCAGGGAACTGGAGGTGCGAGGGTCCCCAAAAGGGAGAGGGATCAGAGTGGACATGGGAATGAAGCAGCCAGGGCCGAGCCAGGGCTACAGAGGGGTAAGTGCATACCCACCTTGGCCTTGAGCATTCCGAAGCCCACTGTCTCCTTGGCATACATACAAAGCAGAAGGTTGGCCACTCGGGTGATGGCCACACGGCCCTCCTGGTAGGGGGGGAGGGGGAGATGATGGGTTGGGGTGCTTTGCTGCTTGGCCTCCTCCTTCCTCCAGGGCTTCTCTGGCCTCAGAGGGGCTACAGTTTCCTTCTACCCCCTGGGGGCAGAGGAGGGTCAGCTGCAGGTGCTCGGAGTCTGGGTTCTAGCCTCAGCACCTTCATCTCTGAACCAAGTTGCTCTGGGAAACCCCGGCCGTCCAAACGTGGTTGTGGGTTCTCTGTGTGTAATCCCTACCTCTCTCTAGCTGGTGGGAGTGCCAGTACACACGGAGGAGTCTGTGATCTGCAAAGGGCTGTCCACCTGGTGTTTTGTGTTTCTTTTCAAACAGAGGCCCCTTCTTTAAATCTTAAACAAGAGAAAGGCAATCATCCAGATGAGGCCGACTGTCAGCATGGGGTCACAGTGGTGCCCAAAGGATCCATGGCCACACTGCTGCTTGGAGAGCATGGAAACAAAGAGAATTTACCACAAAACCCTGACTGGCGAGAGACAGCTCAGTTCAGGTGCAACCCAAAGACACTGTGAAGGACGTGGAGCCAATCACCCAACCTGTAGTTCTCTTCTTTTCCCTATGCAAGGCTTTGCGAGCTGCGAGTTTGACTCCAGGGTTAGGAGATGGATTTAAATGGTGGATCAGTCAGCGTTTCAAAATGTAAGCAAAGGGGAGACAAGAGACATGAAGCGCATCTATACTACTTCATGAAACTGTTGTTTCAGATCTATATGTGTGCTGGGCTATGGCATAAACTATTTTTTATGACAAAGTTCTGGGTAAAAAAAAAAAAAAGTTTGAGAGTCATTGCCCTGAAGTACTATCTGTGGGCTGGGCATCCCTCCGAGTCATCCGTTGAACAGAAATGGAATCATGGATTCTTGTGGGCGCATGGAAGGAGCAGGCAGCCATGCTACAGTGGACACCCTTTTTGGAGGATCCACCCTTGAGGTGTATTTGATTTGTTTCAGCAAACCTTAGTCGACAGCCAGTCTGTGCTGGGAGTCGGTGCCTCTCCAGCCTCATCTCATACTACTCAACCCAGGCTCATGTCACTCCAATCCAATTCACCTTGCTGTCCCTGACCAGGCACTGTTCTGCCGCAGGGCCCTTGCACCTGTGTCAAAATTGCTCTTCCCCCAGGGAGTCACACGGCTTGTTCCCTTACCTCCTTCAGTCCCTTGACCACTAATCACCGTTGGCGTGAGATGGTCCCTGCTGCATGCTCCTCACACCCCCTATCTCCTTGTGCCCGGTTTACGATGCACCATAGCGTGGTCACCACCTCAGAGTCTAGATGTTTACTAGACTGGGGGTTTTATCTGCTGCCCCTGCTTCGTGCCAATAACACCGCAAAGGCTTAGTAAATATGAGGGGGCTGCAAAAGGCGTGGACAAAGTCGATTACCTTTTCATTTTCCTGTGGACTCTTGGCAGCCCTCTCCTGTTTGTTGACTAAGCAGACACAAGGCGTTCACAATCTAAAGGCCAGCTCCCCTTTCTCTGGAAATTGAAGGTGTTGGACTAGGGCCTGGAGCCCCTGAAAACTTGATGGCTTTGTGAGTCAGTGGATCTGGGTTTGCATCGACACTATAGTTTATATCTAGTCTTTCGATGGAGTGGCAAAAGAACTCAGCGAGTTACACAATGGTGTGTGTGTGTGTGTGTGTGTGTGTGTGACTTGTTTCCACCTGCAGAGATGGGGAAGCTCAGAGAAATTATGTGACTTTAGTCTCAAAATAGCAAGTGGCTGGTGAAAACCAGAAGCCCAGTGCGACCTTGGGTCTAGAACTCCTCCCTCACCACCTCTTACAGCACAGAGTCCTGGCTACTCTAAATCTGTCTGTAGATCAACTCTGAAGACTTCCAGAGTTCCCGTTCCTGCCCCTCCAACCATGCAAGGCGGGATCCAGGTAGCCCCCTGGGAATCCCCTTGCAGGACAGTGGAAGCCAGGTCCCCTTTCCCATACCATGCAGTCCATGAGAATGAATTTGAGATTGTCTTCGTTAAACGCTTGGTTTCCGTTGCGGTCGTAGGCGGCCCAGATGTTACTGGCTATGGCCGCGGTGACCCGGGCATCTGTGTCTCCATAACCCGAATAGGCCAGCAGGGATCCCTCGTTATTCAGCAGCCTGGCGAGGGGCAGAGAAGGTTAGGATGTGCTCAGAGCAGGGACTAAAAGACCGGGGTTCCCACCCCAACTCCCATCACTGGCCATTCACAGAAGCAAGGGTCTGGGTTGAGTGTGGTCGCGAAGGGCATCAGCACACCCCAACTTCCCTTGTCAAGAAAAGCCCCACCCGGCCGGTTTCCCCAGCTGCTTCCCCTTCTGCCCCCTCTTTTGACTTCCCCGGAATCCTTCCCCACTCCGCCCTCCTCGGAAAGCTGCGCGGCGCCCCGCTCAGGCTCTGGCGCGCGCCACTCGGGTCCTCGTTCCGCACTCACAGGGTGCTCTGGACGCCTCCAGTGTTGGCTTGGCTGAGCACCTGGGTCAAAGCTTTCGGGCGCAGCATGCCTGCCGCTCCAGGCGCTCACACTGCTGTACGGGGGTAGCTTCGTCCTGGCCTGCGCCTGCCGCTTCCCGTCGCCCCGCTGCCCTGCCCGCCCCGCCCCGCCGCCCCCTGGGAGTTGTAGTTTCCTGGTCTGGCTCGTGTGGTTATGATTGAACGTCGTCCTACCGTGGAGGGCCCTGGGAATTGTAGTTCCTCGTGACGTCGCGAGGCACCCTGGGAACTATAGTTTGCCGCCCCAGTCCCGTCACGCGGTTAGTGGGGAGCGAGGTGGGGAGGGGGGCGGAGAGCGGGAGTAACCGGCCCTTGCAAGTCCTGGAAGGACATTTAACCCCTTCGAGGAGAGAAGTGACTTGTTCCCTTGGCAATCCATGGTTCAGTAATCGTGGTTATTGTAATTCTCTAGAATTGTGAAGCACATCTTTAGATATGTTCTAAATTAGTTTCCTGTGTTATGAGCAATTCTGGGAGACGAGGTTATAGGAATCATTATGCTGAAGAAAGCTAGGCTCAGAAAGACCCAGCAGACAAAACCCAGGTCTTTGAAACAGGCTTGAATTACATTCAGGCCCCGACCCTGGGGAGAGTAGGTTCTATCCTAGGGTTAAAACCCGAGGGGGACTTGCAGAAGTGAGAAAATTCGCCTCTCCACGGAGAAGGAGAAGGCCTGTCGGGATCCGGGCCTTTCAAGTGGGACCAAATTGTCACATGCAATGGTGGTCAAGCGGCGACACAGAAAGTCCTTTGTCCCGAGCGGGAATTACCCGCGGAGAGGGCGGGGGCAGCCCGGGGCCGCACTGGACCGCCGCGCGGCGCGGTGGGCTGCAGTCGGTGGTGGTCTCTCCCGGGGAACCCTCCCTCTGCTCCGCACCCCAGGAACGAGGGACACGCCCCGCCCCCGCCCAGAGCCCGCTGGGGGTGACAGCCCTGC